ACAGTACTCCCCCATGTAAATAACCACAAGCACACACAGACAGACACAGTATTCCACCTGTGTTTTTATTCAATGAACCATTCAATATTCTAATTTAAGTGAAAGGTTTTATCCAGAGATGTCATATGAAGAGCACATGACTCCTTTAATTGGGTGATTTTTGTGTGAGTCATTGCAGCAAATCTGCTTGTCATTATTAAAAGCTATTTCAAGTCTTACCCATCCCTGGTACCCTGAAGCATCTACATACTAAAAATTTATGATGTTGGGTCTGTAATTATTCTTTTCAACCAATGGCTTGTACTTGTAGTCTGTGTTTATGTTTATGATTGCAATTATTGCTTATTTGTTAAAACTTGCTTTTTGGTCTATTTACACCTATTTGTTCTTTCTCTATTCCTGTAAATTCCACTCTGAACTACTTTTTCTTTTACTTTAGGTTCTTAACTTAATGAAAACAACATATGTGCACAATATGGTGTAGTGAGTGAGTACAATACAATGACTACCATAGAAACCAATGCTTTTCGTATTAGGGAACTGAAAATACATACACACACAAACTGTGTGTGTACTAATAATTTTCATGTCACAGGGACCCATCAACATTCCTGAAAATGTATGTGATTAAATGCAGTGATCTGGAATTACATTTAACCTGATTTTTGATTTTCTTTGGAAGTACAAAACAGCAGAGCTGAAGCTGAAATTTTGTTTGTTTTGGAAACTATAAACACTGGCCACTATATTAGATACACTTTGCCTTTTGCCTTCAGAAGTGCTTCATGCAATATGCTCAACAAGGTGCTGGAAACATTCCTCAGAGATTTCGGTCCATCCTGACATGACGGCATCACACAGTCATCACACAGTTGCTGCATATCCATACCAATCTCCCTTTTTGCACAACATCCTAAAGCCTCAATTTCCTGTCCTTAGCTGACCTAAGTGGCCTCTAGCCTGGTCTTCTGTTTCAAGTTGTGCATTCAGAAATGTTCTTCTGCTTATCCTGGTTGTAATGAGTGGTGTTTTTACTTACTGTTGCTTTCCTAACAGCTTAAAGCAATCTGGCCATTCACCTCTGACCTGTGAGGCATTTTCGCAAACAGATCTGCTGCTATATTTTCTCCTTTTTTTCTGTCTTTCTTTTTTTTGCCCATTATTTGAAAACCCTAGAGATGGTTGTGTGGAAAAAATCCCAGTACATAAGCAGTTTCTGAAATACTCAGACTAGCCCATCTGGCATCAACAACCATGTCGCATCCAAAGTCACTTAAATTACCTTTCTTCCCTATTCTGATGGTGTGTTTCAACTGCTGAAGTTCAGTCACTTCTTTGTTATACCTGCATGCCTAAACGCACTGACTTGCTGCCATATGGTCGACTGATTTCATTTTTGCATTAACAAGCAATTGAATAGGTGTACCTAATGAAGAGGCTCAATAGTGTACATGCTTATTTTGAATTTTAATTCAATAATGATGAAATTGACTGGTTATTTAACATCAAAATAATATAATTACAAGAGATCTCTTGGATGACACTGTGTTAAAAACAGACATGATTCTCTGATAGAAATCACTGCAGATGCTCTACACAAGCCCCCCTGAAAACCACTATCACTCTATCCAAGATGCTTTAATTTAATCATACTATACACACTTCCCTACCAATAATGACACCATATACCCAGTTTAACGCCTTGTCTGATACAATCATGGCCCACAGAGACCAACTGTGTGAAACACAGAACAAGAAGTAGATGAAGAAGAAGAATGAATGTCATTGTCTTATTGGGAATCATTTGCTCATTTAATGGTAGCAGTTAATCCCTTCTCTTCCTGTCTTTTGTCATCATTAGTCACTGGGAAGATGTTTGTGTGTGTGGGGAAGGAGCAGTTGAGAGATTCCCTGACATATGTTGTCTAGATCCCTCTTTTAGTTTCAGATTGTGTCTTAGTTTCATCATATCTAAGCCAGAGTCATAAACATTGTGTGTTCATAGTAAATGACCATTTTAGTACTGGAGGTGTTCCCTCTAAATATATTTTTGTTGCTGTCACTGTGACAAAAGTAAGTGGCAGGATTCATAGGTAGTTGCTTTTATAATGATTTAACAATTTTCAAACTCAATAACATGGTTAAGTGTTGTTTCACAAGAAGTGCATATGGATCCTTATGTCCTCATATGTTATTTATTTTTAACCACTTCATCTTCACAATCATTTGCGGTTACTGTAGGTAAGCATTTTAAAATACATACATTCCTATTTCTTTTTCAGTTTCCAAAGTCTATACTAAATAATGACCAAGATTATTGTTTGTTGTTTGTTATTTCCCAACTGACATGCACTAGAGGTCAACTTATGTTTCAGTACAGTTTAGAGGCCTGGAAACTTACATGAGGTGGGTAATTCATCACAAAAACTAATTTTGCTTTTGTTTCTGGTATCAGATTGTGATACCAGAAACAAATGTCTGGTATCAGTTTACCATTTGGGTGTAGAATCAAGTCATAAACTGTATATAAAAGATGGAAGCGGCCTAGTCAGTTACTGGTTTGTGAATTCCCATTGGAAGTTTCAACTTTAGTGTTATTGCCTCCAGCATGTTGTTCTTAGGAGCCAGAAATAACCCTATTTAGATGACAGGGTCAAAAGCTAAGTTATTAGCTAATACTAACAAGCTTGGTTAGCAAGCTGCATCCATAGACTGTCGAGGCATTCCTACTAATAAGTATGCACCAAAATTAAAACAACACAAAAAAAGCCCCCAATGATATTATTTCTAAGATTATAATATTAAAAATAATCCAAAAGACACCAACAGTATAAACATATGGAAGAAGAAGAACTCCAGTTAGCAGAACTGAACAGCCACACGCTCCAAACTTGTAGCTTTGGCATAGTTAAGGTCATGAGGCTCATTACTTTGACCTTAGGATAAAGTTGCTGTTTTTTAATTTGTTCTTTTGTTTTTGTTTTTTATTGCAAGTAACCTACATTAATACAGAAACCCAACAATCATATGACTCCTTATGAGCAAGTGCTTTGGCAACAGTGGAAAGGAAAAACTCAGTTTTAACAGGAAGAGAGAACAAAGACATTCTTTGGAAAAGAGTCATAGATTCATAATAATTAATAATTAAATGCAGAGTGGTTTATAAATAGATAGTGAGTGAAAAAGGTGAGTGAAGAAGAAATATGCAGTGCCTCATGGGAAGCCCCCAGCAATCTAGACTTATTGCGGCATAACTAAGGGAGGGTTCAGTGTCACCTGATCCACCCCTAACCACATGCTTTGTCATAAAGGAAAGTTTTAAGTCTAATCTTAAAGAGGGTGGTAGAGTAGAGAGGGTGACTGTCTCCAGTGATACTGTACTACGAGGTCTTCAACAGACGTTGTATGTGACAAGAACGATTTTAAATTCAATTCTGAATTTAACAAAGAGCTCGTGAAGAGAAGCTAGTATACTCTGCTCATAACAAACTACAGTAGTCTAGCCTTGAAGTAATAAATGCATGAACTAGTTTTTCAGTATCACTCTAACACAGGATGTTTCTAGTTTTAGAGATATTGCGCAAATGGAAGAAAGCAATCCTACATATTTGTTCAATATGCAGACTGAAGGAAATATCCTGGTCAAAAATTACTCCAAGATTCCTCACAGTGTTGCTGGAGGCCAAAGTAATGCGATTTAAAGCATCTGGTTAGAAACCATATTTCTAAGATTTTTAAGGCCCGAGTACAATAACCTCAGTTTTATCTTAATTTAGAAGCCAAAAATTAGAAGCCATCCAGGTCTTTAAGATATTCAAGCAGTTTGACTAATTGGTATGTGTTATCTGGCTTTAAGAATAGATAAAGCTGGGTTGAATAGAGGTGGAAATGTATGCTATCACTGCTAATAATACTGCCTAAGGGAAGCATGTATAATATAAACAGAACTGGTCCTGGCAAAGAACCCTGTGGAGCTCTTAACCTTAGCGTGGGAATATTTGTTTTAAGTGAGCACAAGGGTTTTGGTAAACCACTTAACAAAGTTTACAGCGATCTGATTTAAAGCTTTAGTCACACAGGCAACCTGTCGGCAACCATCTAGTAACCACCAGTTGCTGGGGAAAAGTGTGGCCGTAACCAATTGATAAGTGGCTGCTGGAGGCTGGTAGAAGCTCTTTGCATGAAATTGGTTGCAAAGACATAAATGGTGCTGCACCGAAAACCTCATTGTGATTGCTTTGATTCATAGCAGGTTGCTGCAGTTACTAATAGACCTTTTGCTTTCAAAGTAAAAGCTATGTCTCACTACTGCAACCAAAGCATTTCAAAAGCTGCACTTTTTAAAATTTAACTATAGCTTGAAGAGTGACTAGCAAGTATTTGCAGACAAGTTAGTGTTTCCATCCAAACTTTGAGTGAATCACAAGGTAGCTTTTTGGCACAGCACCCTCTGTGGAGCTGATTTCAATTGGTGACAGCCAGGAACCGCCAGCTAATCAACTGGTCAGGGAAACTCATTTTCAGGGAAACCATTGTTACAGTGTTCCAGACCAGTCTCTAGGCCTGTGTGAGTAGGGCTTGAGTTCATACTAGTTATAAACTGTGAGTAGTTTGGACTACGTTTTTGTTCTCTACACTGGTAAGATTACCTCTCTTTCTATTTTCTCCATTTTGACAAACTGTCACTGAAATAGTGCTCCAAAAAATTAAGGAAATTCAATAAGTGCTTAGATTGTGCGTACTTTAGCTTGCAATACCAACCATTCCTGGACTACCAAGCATAGGATAATAAAATGGAATCCCTGGTTTCATTACAGTATGCTTTGGGAATATGCTGGCATAATTTTAACACATATATCATTATTTCATGTAATTTCCTTGATCTGAACAACAGTACTTTCTCTACAGGTCATTTTTGTCAAAATAGAATAGTCCTTTTTAAACAACACATAAGTATGATTGTACACAAATGAATACAAATGTAGTTCAGTAAAAAAGGTTTTATTTGAAACACAGTCTACAAAAGGTTGAACTAAAGATCTATCATTTAAAAAGTCTGATAGTAAAACCTATCTTTCATTAAATGCCACTTTGCATCTAAAACTTTATGCAACTTTTATCAGCTCAACACTTGATAAAATTTGATTGTTTATTCAGCTGGTTGTCAAACAAGAAAGAAACTCAAAAAGTACGAAAAAGATAGAATACCAAAAATAAAATTCAGTTTTGTCAAACTAAATTGCTTTTTTATATCAAACTGCTGCCATTTTGCAAAAAGACTTTGAATAGAAATCTTTATAGATACGAAAGATTCGTATCTATAAAGACTTGAGTTGTAGGAAATACAGTATTTGAACATGCATGAATATGCTACCTGTTCTCTTGAGTTGGATAATAAAAACATCTTACAAAAATAAATCAGACGTTAGGCAGAGTTATGCCCTGTATTTACACAAAAGTAAACATTACTTGTATAGAAAAATTTGTCGACTTTCTAATATGGAGCTTCAGCTTTAAAGTCTTACAGTCAAAGAAGAAATGTGCTCTTTCACGTTTGGCTCGCCAGCGTGTGTTAGAAAAGCAAAGAATGTTCTTCTTATGTTCTGTATTCAGTTTAGAGCAAGCTGAAGAGCTCTTGTCAGGTATTACTGCTCACATCTTAGGCAGTGATTGGCATGTTGTCCCTGTAAGTTGTCCTTTGAGGAGCACTGTAGCTGCACAGATCCTGGTAGATGCGAGCCATCTGGTCAGTGGCCGCATCATCAGACATCTCTAGGTTTGGGTTGTTGCAATAAGGCTGGGCACGACGCATGTTCATTGTCTCAAGCACGTGCTGGCAGTTCACTGAAGTGATCTGCCATGAGGAGAAAAAAACCCCCAAAAATTATGTTTTTTGTTTTTTCTCAGAATAAAGCCATAACTAGCTCTTGTTTAAAAACTATCGAGGCTAAAAAATAAAGTGATATTTCTAATGCTTTACTAGTCAGCACTCTGAGTGAGACATGTTATCATTTCACACGTCTTACCTGGACGATGATCAGTTTGTTTTTGGCACTGTTGTGATCATGCAACTCTTCTCCAAAACACAGAGTCACTGTTGGATCAGGAGCAGGAATCTGACCCTCCTGGTACAGCTGTAGAGCTGGAGCATATAAAACAAACGAACGGCTGTTTAGATAATCTTCGCAAATTATCAGTATCTAGTCTTACTTCCTTTAAGCGAAAGAAATAGAAAACAAAGCTGTATTTTTCTGTAAATCCAAAATATGGAACCAATGTAGAGCCTCACCTTGAAGAAACCTTGCTGTATCAAAGATCTTGACAACAGCATCCCTGTCGAGTTTGCCAGGCATTGAGCCATATTGCGAGCCCACATCTCCCAATCCGCTCCAGAAGACACGGCTCTGGCACAGCCTTTTGATGTAGATGCCGTCTTGGTTTGCACGGACCAATACACCTCTCTCCAGGTGGCCCAGAAGCTTGCGCGTGACATATCGCTGCCGTTCAAACTCAATGAGTTCAGCAGGGGGGAAATAAACACTCTGCATGCTGTCTGAACTGTAGAGGGCACCCCGACCCAGGGGATGTTGCGGAGAGATTCGGCATCCTTCAGGATGAGTCACCAGTGTGGAGTGCATCAGCTTTCCTCCATAGTAAAAACTGATCATCATTTGGCAGAGGGCTATAGAGGAAAACATTTGGTCAGATTCAGAAATGAAAACAAATACGTACAAATGTAACAAAAATATGGAAGCTGAAAGCTTGTTTACAAGTAGATGATATAAGGTCATGGATAACAATAAGCAAATACCTGAACTGAGACTGCTCGATGGCAAAGGTTCCTGATGCAGTGGGAAAGCTGTGAATTAGAGGAGGAAGAGGTGGGTTAAGGCCTTTTTTCAAGGCAGTGGACATAACCACAGTGTCATGTCTTTACTTTGCTGCGTCATCAGAAATGCCATTTCTCTATTACAATCTCACGAAGAAATAATCACAAGAGTCAGCAAAGTTTTACAGGATGTTAGTCAATTATTCCATTGCAGAATTCAACAGTCAAGTAAATAACCTCCATTTAGCACCCACAAATGCAGAGACACTGAGTTTTCCGCTGGGGTTATTTTGTGAATAAATTCAAGCTTATGTCTCTCATAAGTGGTGTCACAACAACAGTGTGATATATGAAGGTTGATTCAAAAGACCCAGTGCTGTGAATAGCTTCATTTAATCTAGCTATGTGTTGCATTGTAAACTGGGTACAAAGTATAATCTTACCATTGACACTGCCCTGGGACCAATATTCTGGACTGGCTTGGATGCTACAGCTTTCCTCCTGCAAAAGGACAATAATATAATAAGATGTTATCAAAAGCACCTTTGTACACTTCACAGCTGTGAAGAAGTGGGACGGTTTTCATGCTGAGTGTAACAAGTCTGCAGGAGACGGCACAGTGTGGTAAGGGGGGAAAAAAGTGACAAGAAAGCTAAGTGACAATAAAGGCTAAGTGCATCTAAATATATGTGGGGGTGGGGTGGAATGAAAAAAAGATTTTAAAGTTAGACATCATCTCACCTCTTTAATGAGCTCTTCTAGCTCGGGGTTGCAGTCCATATCTGTGATCTCACCAGAGCTGGTGGTAGCTGTCACAGCCATCACTGAACTTTTGCCGTCTGTGGGTGAAAGAATAGTACACAATGAGTCGGTTCAAAGTGCATATACACTCTTTTAATTATTCACTGCTATAGGAACTACAGTCTGTAATAAGTATTTTGCTCTCAGTTCTAATCACAAATGAAAAAGTGATTTTGCTAACTGCTAGAGATAACAGAGTGTATTGTGAGATATGCCGTGTACTGTGAGATAACACAAACTCACGTTTTTGCTCTTCTTCTGGAACAATGCGGTACACTTTATAAGGCTCAGAAATATCAAGCTGTGACCTCTCAGTCACCTCCTCGAAGTCAGGGCTTTTATTCAGGGCGCAGCGAAGTCTGGTCTTCCATGTTGCAGGCTCAGCCTTGTCCCCCTCCTTATACTTGCCTTTAAACACAGCCCAGGCCTTGAGGATATAAAGAAAAGTATATGATTGTACTGGATTAAATCGTAAGATCGACATGTACATCATTTTTGTAAAGTCTTCTTGAGAAAGAAAGAAAAAAGAATAAATGAAAGAAAATCTAAGTTATATAGCTACACCACAATGCATACACAAAAAGGACAAAAAGAAAAAAAAAGTGAAAAATTATTTTAATAGTCTAAATCACACAAAAGAATCAGACTTACAGTAAGAGGAGAAGTGTTGGGCAGCTTTAAGAATCACACCAGTTCTGGTTTTAGCGCGCAAAAAAAACAAAACAAAAAACAAAACAATCTTTCAATGAGGCAAAATGATACGAACCTTAAAAATGGATGCGTCTATTTCTTGGTTGTAATCCTGTTTTCCTGCGTGTTTCCATGGAATTCGGAACATAGTGCGGCTTTCATCCTCCCACAGGAGTCCAGAATACTGCGCACTTTGGATCTGCTCCATCAGCCACTGCTTTAGTCGCCGACCTCCCGTGTTTGACATCTTGATGGTGGAAACTCTCTTTTTAGATGGCGCGCTTATATCTATATGTGGAAAATGTCGCGTAAAGTTCGTTAAATAGTATAAGTTAACTTTCTTTAAGATATTATGAAAATGTCTTATTCGAGCCGAAGCGTATAAAGCGCTATCGTCTTTTTAAAAAAGAGAGATTAAAATCAAAGGCACTTACAGATTGACAGGTAGATAAGCTCTTGGCACGGGGTTGTGATCTTGATAGAATGCGCACTGTCAGATTTAATCAAGTGAGCTCTCCGAAACGCATGCCTTTAAACTTTTTTGTGCCCCGTGTCATGAATGAATAAATCTGTGGTAGGATTTGACAACGCTGCCACACTCTGACCAATGACGAGTACTGACGCTTCAGTAAGACTGCCCATACCGGAAGACTTTTTCTTCTAACCGTGGGCATTTACAAGAAATGGCCTGACACAGACGATGGTTATAAAGTTACTGCCTACGCTAAAAGCTGCGTGGACGCGGCGCTATGAATAAACCCGTAAAGTCACAAGTTACCTTGTGCTTTGAGGGGATTTCTACTCTCCAGACCAAGGTACTATATCCCTTCTGCGCCCACTCATCCTCCGATGAGAAAGTTTAGAAGGTTGTGCAGGTAAAAGTGGTCAGCTGTCAGTGCGATGGTGAGGTGAGGACTGATTCCATGTGTCAGAGACACCTGGGAGATGTTACACTGTTACCGTTATTTAAAATGATCGTGATTATATGTGAAATATTAAGCTCAAAACGGGGGACCGCAGCGTATTATTAAGACAAAACATTAACTATTATTTTTCCCAGTAAAAACATTTTCTGTTATTCTCTGTCCATCATGAAATCCCTGTGACATCATTTAGGGACTAAGGTGCCTGTTTATTACAGAAACTGACACTTACTGTCATATTTGAGCTAAGATTTCAAACATAAACATCAATCTGTTTCTCACTTTTATATGAACATAGGCTTATATGAATTTGTGTACACCAAAAATGTAGAATACAAAAAAATAAAGTAGCAAGCTAATTAAATACTCGGTTCTTTATGCACATGTAGAGTGATTTAAATAATTTCATCATCTGATAAAAAACAAGACTTGGGAGATGTAGTTGGGATTCAGTTATGGTAAAATGGTAAATGGCCTGTATTTGTATAGCGCTTTACACATCCAGTCATCCACCCATTCACACACACATTCACACACAGGTGATGGCAAGCTACATTGTAGCCACAGCCACCCTGAGGTGCACTGACAGTTCAATTCATTATACATGTCCTAACAGAAGGCTTCCAGTTAGCATTTTAATATTTTGCTGAACTGTAAGGTAGGTCTCTGGAAATCCTGCCAACAGTTAACCTGTCTGGACATGCCTATGTGATTACAAAAATCCCCCACCCTACTTGGTGTGTAAAGGAATATTAAGTAAATACACACTTTCAATGAGATACTGCTGTTTAGAGGAGGAAACTGGAAGCAACCCCACCGGCCCAGCAGGAACGAATTCCAAGGAAAGACTTACGCTTCACTTCTTGGAAGGCTGGCTTCATAACGTAATCCTTATTTTAGACTGATATTTGTTTCATTATGTAAAACAATGAAAACCTTAAGGAAAAAAATGAAACTCATTTCATTATTTTAACCAGTCTAACGTTTTATCCTCAAATATCTCAAGCTAAATCTGCTTTTTATGCTTTACTATAAAGACAAAGACACACCGTTATCTTCATAGGGTGGATTTATTAACAATTCCATTTTTTCTCCATCACTGCATTTCATTATAAAACAAAACACCATAAATACACAATTAGGACAACAAACATTATCCACAAAACTATAAACAGAAATTCTTTAAAAATCTGTTTTGACACAGTAAAAAGATAACATCAGAGCTTCGGTAAAATCAGGAAGACTTTAACATTTGGACTACAGACATCCTGAATATGTAGTAATACTTTAAATTCAAATTCCCAAATTTAACCTGCTGTTAATAAACTTAAAGGAACATTTTGCCTTGTTTCCTATGTATTTTTAGGTGTCACTCATAGTGGTTTATTTGTAATGTCCACAGTGCGGTCTCCGTGTGTCAACCTACTTAAAAAGGTTTGTCTTTCTTTAATCCTGTGTGCCTGGTGAGGGATAACTTAGTACCAGTCCTCTCAGCCCTGCAATGAATGCAAAGAAGAAATAACTGCTGGGAACTGATAACAGTTTTTTAGCCTCACAATATTCTACTAGTTTATATAAAGATTTGTTTTGTTGTTTTGGTGTGGATTTCTGACACTAGATTTTGTAACAAATATTGGTACAAGTGGTGTGTACACAACTTGGAATTTTCTCTACGATGAACCAAATGAAAGTGAAAGTGCTAACTATACTGAAAGAGCAGTATCCAACTATGTCAACATGAATACTGTAAATTACATAGGCAGTGATAAACTCATTGTTTTGTGATCTTTGTAGGTGGCTAGTACAATGCTTATGATGTATGTTGCAGCTATTTATAGGTAGGATGAATGTAACAACAAATTTCATGCTGTCAAACCTACAAACACAAAAAGCAGTGCTGATTTGCAAACTTGTACGTATCAAATCAACCATCAGTTTAGTTTTAGATTTAACTGAGATTTAACAGACTAGATATTTATATAACTATAGGCAAAATGTTCATTTAAGATGCCGTTAGTTGATTATGGCATTAAGGCTGCTGAGCTGAACATTGCAGGAGTCCATGTAGAAACAGAGGTCATCACTCATCATGGCTAAGGTGCTGAGGTGTTTAGAGTAAGGCGTCTGTGAGCACCAATACCCCTGTTTTGGTTGTAAGGGACTGTGGCGGGTACTGGTAGTGGTTATAGGTCTGTAGCACAATTCTAAATCAACCTCCATCTCTTCTTAAAAAACAGACGCGAATAAAGTAAAAGGTGCTCAATATTATCTTATGCTTTTAGAGTTGTATGAATACATGTAGGTTAGATATGACTGAGGGTTGATTTGGAAATGAGTACAGAATAGTGGGTACTGCCTATTTCCAGGCAGCAATGGGCACAAGTTTGGCATGACCAGACTTGTGTTTTAGCCGCTTCCTTCATCATCACCATCAGCATCAGCATTGGATCGCATGGATGGGTAGCCACTGACAGTTATCCAGCTGTGATCACCTCCCCTCTTCTGGCTCTGCTGTTGCTCTGTGTACTGGCTCAGCAGGGCACCCACCTGCTCCTGGTCATTGAATGGACTGGGACGGAAACTTGACCGTAACCATACTCTGTACTGAGGATGAGAGGGGAAAGGAAAACAGTTAATTAAAATAACATTTTTTATGGTTAAGATCAAACTACATAATACAATTTTACATAACTCACTGCCATATATTTTATATACATGAAACAGGCAAATATTTCAAGCCTTATTTGTTTTATTTTTTTAATGACAATAACTCATAGCTTATAAAAATCAGAAATCCAGTATCTCAAATTAATAAAATTTTTCAAATTGAAAAAGAATTTACCATAAGAAATATCCAACTTCTGACAAGTACCTTCATTAATACACAATACTTCGAGCTCCTTTACCACTAAATACTGCATCAGTGGAGTGTGGCATCGAAGCAATTAGCTTGTGGCACTGCTGAGGTGTTACTGAACACTTCGGCAGCGCCACAAGCACGGCTTTAGCCTGTCTTTATTTTTGGTTCAGGTGTTTCTTGTCTTCCTCATAGTTTATCTGTGGGGTTAAGGTCAGATGTAATAGAGTTGGCTGGCCAGTCAAGCATGGTAATGCCATGGTTACCAAACCATTTGGTAGCAGAGTCTTGATGCATGCTCAATCATCCATGTTCATCTGGAGCATTCGTCACTTAGATGAGTGACAAAATGTTTCTCCCACTAAAAACACTACATCTAGATGAATAGAATCAACTTTCTGGCATTTGGCATGAGACACTGTGGGCAGGTGATGAGTTCTGCTGGAAAAGGAAACCAGCATCACCATAAAGCTTGTCAGCAGATGTGTGCATGGAGTACTCTAAAAATCTGGTAGACAGCTGCACTGACTTTGACTGGACTAAGCACAAAAAGCACCAAAAGATAAAATGGCACCCCAAATCATCACACTGTGGAAACTTCCCGCTGGACTTCCAACACCTTGGATTCAGTGCCTCTGTGGTTTTTCTTCAGATTCTAGAACTTAAGTTCCCAAATAAACTTCTACTTTCACTTGAAAAGAGGATTTTGTCCCCCTGAGCAAAAGTCCAGTTCTTTTTCTCCTCAGCCACATAAGTCTCCTTTGATACTGTCTCTGATTCAGGATATGACTGATATTATGAATGTGACAGTTGTAGCTCCTTTGCCAAAGACTGTGCTTTGTTGGCTCCTGATGCACTAACACCAGCCTGTGTCCACTCCTTGTGAAATTCACCCAATTTCTTGGCTCAACTTTACTCTCAAGGCTGTGGTCATCCCAGTTACTTTTCCTACTGCATTTCCTCCCCTCAGTCAGCTTACCATTAATATGCTTTCATGTAACACTCTGGGAACAGCAAGTTTTTTTTTAACCAATGATTTCCTGTGGCTTGCCCTCCTTGGGGAGGGCGTTGATGATCATCTGGACAACTGTCAACTCAGCAGTCTTTCCCATAATTGCGGTTGCATGTATTGAACTAGACTTAGACATGCACAATATTTACACTGACTGAATAGTAATCTTCTGATTTTCATGAGCTTAAATCCATATCAACACAATTAAAACAGAAAAATTGCAATGTTTCACCATGTAATGAATTCAGGATATAGTAAACTTTACATTTTAAAATTAAGTTATTTGAAATAAAAAAAAAAAACCTTTTACAATGTTACATTTTTTTTTTAGATTTGCTAGTATAGTGACTTTTTAGTATAACTATATTCATACTGTAAGTTACAATAACAAATATACAACATAAATTGTCCTCCCCAAGATTCACACATCTCCTTTAAACATAGTTGCCTCACACCACATCTACAGTGTCTTCAAACAGTACATTAGTCTGCTTAACATTGAGAAACAGGTGGATTATAAGCTATAAATACATATCCACCCAAGTTTCATTAGAGAACATGTCAAAAGAATAGTTTGAGTATTCATACCAAAAAGTTAAATTTACAGAAAGTAGTGCAAGTGCACTTGTTTCGTTTTTTTTCATGGAAAATGCAACTCTCTTGTTCCTCTTTTTCTAAACCTATATGCAATTTGTGCAGCTTTGTGATCACATATATCTAGGGATGGGTATTGATAAGATTTTCACGATTCCGATTCCATTTTCGATTCTGTTTAACGATTCGATTCTTTATCGATTCT